TTTCTTCACTGAAAGAAGAGCAAAACACTGCTCTGGAGGCTTTTCTCAGAGGAAAAGATGTTTTTGCTCTTCTCCCGACTGGTTTCAGCAAGAGTAGCCTGGCTTGTGGTTGTGTTTTCGTCGTCACTCTGTTAGGACGTCATATGCTTCGTTGATCTGATTGGTTTATGTGGCCCGTCTATCACCACCATAGGCCATTCAGCTAACCAGTATTTTTGCCCCTTCCCAAAATTACTTCAACGGAAGGTTTCCAGATGGATATGTGCATTGTTTGCCTCTGTGACAGCCTGCTGTCACACTCTGAAGCTGTGTGGTAACTTTTACATTTTTAATTTTCAAAATCAGGTGCACATTTCATATATTTTCATTAGCCTGCCTTTAAGTTAACGTTTTGCAGTGCACACATTTACTTAACTTTATTTGTCAGGTTTTTGGGGTTTTTTTTGTCAAAAAGCAATTGATTAATTTCTTTCTTCTTTGAGTTGCCAGTTTCCTTGGGATCTGCTGGTGGAGGGCTGCAGTGAGCCCCAGCTTTCCTCAATTGGTTGCAGGCTAATCAGCGGATCAAACCATTTGCAAGGGGAAGGTAATTTTGCTTATCATTTGTTTAAAATTTTTGAAAAAGTTTGGGTAATTTTGTTAATTAGTTAAATTTAAAAGGTATTTAGTGTCTGGCCAGTATTTATCTGTTTAATTAAGTTTATTTGTTTATTAGTTTGTTAGTCAGTTACCCCCCTTGTGTGTCAACAGTGGTCTGATCAGCCACTATTTAAGTTTCCCTCATGTCCTGTTTGTTAGGTCAGTTTGTGCTTGAGTTCTTTATGTTAAAGCCTGAATTCAATTCTGTTTTGTTGACCTCTGTTTTGGGGCCCAGTGTATAATTTTTTGAACATTTTTGGAATAAATTAAGACTTTTTATCAAAAATTTCAGTGGTTTTCTGGCTCCCTCACAGCCTCACTGTGGTAAAGCTTTGCTACCAGAGCATAGCTTCCTTATCCCAGTTAATGCTAGCAGAGCTGCATATCTCCAGAAAATACATCCTTGTTCCTACAGAAAAAAAATATAAACAGACATTGCAGCAGATGTCATTAGGTAGAGAGTTGGAAGGGGAAACAAATGTAGCTCCTGTCAGGATTATTTTATTCACAATTTAAAGCTTGTTTTTTAAATGCATGTATTGGCATTTAGATCATCCACTTCATGCAGGCTGGGCCTTGTTAACACTAACAGCCTCATTTAAAAAAATAGTGAAGATAAAAAAATGACAGAAGGGTAGTCTAAGATCTGAACTTTGCAAGCTCTTCAGCAGCTGCTTCTGATTTGGGAACAGCAGAGTTCCTGAATCTGTCGATCAGCCGCTGCTGTCGTAGCGCTCTCTGTCTTCAGGTCAGTTTATGAGGAACAGTTTGGAAATAACATTTCCAAAAGCTGATTTCTCACCGCAAAGCTTCTGCAGCCCTTCCTCCCTGCCTGAGGAATTTCAGCATTTGGTCTAAAGATCTGCAGTGGAGATCCATACAATCAAACTGGTTTAAGCCTGGCGACATTCTTAACTCTGGGATTCCTAAATCAAGGAGACATTGTCTCTCTTATCTCTGCATGATTGCAGCAGATTTACACAGAGTTCAGAGCTGCAAGGCTCTCCATAAACACAGATATGCTGCTAAATACTTCTTTGTGAAATAGTTCGCCTTTCATCATGAGGAAGGCAGGATGTCTAAAAGGCCATAAAAAGATATGACATCACACATCCAATTTTCACTAGAAAACCACAAAGGGAAACACCTAGCTGCTTTAAGACAGGATGGATTTTTATTTATAAAATATGACTAATGAAGGAATGGAGACTAAAGATACTTTAGAGGACATTTTCTATTTAAATGGTTCCAGTGATAAGTGCAGCTAGTTTACCCTAATGTGGGGAATTTCATGAGCTCAATTTAAACACCAGTGTCCCTGTGAAAGGTTGCACCTCATACGATTAAAATACAACAAAAGTTATAAAAATAAAAAATGGAAACTAAGTTTACGGCTGTCAGCTAGATCTCCTCCATGAGGGAATGGGCAATCAAACTGGACGAAAGTTAAGGGGAAGAAATAAATGTGATAATTTTATCATTTAGATGATTGATGAGAAAATTGATTCCAAGAGTTTAGTAGGGATTTGTACACAAGAGGATTAGGGCCACTGAAAAACAAAAAATAAGTTAACTGATTTGTAAATTTTATTTCAGTTTAACATGTGGGAAAAAAAGTCAGAATTCTGACTTTTTTCTCAGAATTCTGACTTTTTTATTGTCAGAATTCGGTCAGAATTCTGAGATTAAAGTCAGAAATCTGAGAAAAAAAGTCACAATTCTGAGGTTAAAGTCAGAATTCTGAGATTAAAATCTGACTTTTTTCCCATACTAAACTGAAATAAAATGTAAAAATCAGTTAACCTTTTTTTTTTTTTTTTTTTTCCACTGGCCCTAATCATCTTCCGTAGATTTGCAAAGCATAGACAGCAGATTATGTCAGTGCTGGAAAGGTTGTAACTAGGGCTGCAACTAATGCTTATTTAACAAATTGATTAATATGTTCCTTATTTTTTAGATTAATAATCGGATAGCCAGCTGTTCCTTAAAGAAGACATTTTACAAAATGAAACCACGTGAAACTAAAAGGTTTCCACTTGATGAGTTCTGGATAGAGCACAATAAATGATAAAAATGTTTATTTTATCCTAAATTCAAAATGTTTATATGTTTTTGCAGAATCTTGGTAAAATAACTGCTCTAAATGAGCAGCTTCCAGCTCAATCACAATGAATCTAATTAAGTTTAGCTCTAGTTGTAGGCCAAAAAGTCAATTTTTTTGTGTTAAGTAACTCCTTAACCAGAGACAGCATCTGAGGCATCTTAGCTGGACTCAGTGGAAACCCATTGATATGTTGCTCATTAAAGGAAGGAAGGTTTGCTGAGTTTGTATTCAGGGGCTGCGTCCTCTGAAGGCCTGATTTGTGGCGATTACTTCATAACGCTGTGGCCTGTTCAGATTGAAAGACTCCTCTTTATGCGTCCAACATCCATCGTTCTTTTTGCCCATTTTGAAGGACAGGTCAGCTGTATCCTCCATTGCCTTGGATATCCCACGATTCATTGAGAGTCAAAGCAAGCCGGTTACTCCATGATCAGAGAAAAAAGGTACTTGGCGCCAAACAGTGGTGAATATTGGAAGTGCAGTTTAATATATTACAAGTATGTGAATAGTTCCGTCTGAAATTCATGAAAATAGTTGTTTTAAATGGTTATTGGGTCAGATATGTGGCGGGTAATGTTTGGTTTATTGAAAAGTTTAATCTGTCCCTACGCAAATGGGTTTGGCTGATGCAGTGTGGGGAATATAAATCTGATATTCCAGATGACTGCACTGCTGCCGAAGCTCCTCGAAAATGTTATTAGCGCACAGAACAATATAGATAAGTTTGCAATCCATTCTTTGAGTTCTTTGTGTGTTAACTGTCATAGTGGCTTGGTGAAAGAGAGTACTGGCGGTGCAAGCTAAGAAGGCTCGACCTATTTGAATCCATAGTCGATTATCCATAGAGGAAAAGAGACACATCGCTTAAAGGGGTATTGTGTAACCCTTACTGCCATCTAGTTGTGAAATGTAGGAATTTCATTTTTTCAAACACTATACCCAGCGCAGGCATGTCCAAAGTCGGCCGCTGTCCTGTGGGTTTTCAATGTTTCTTGACTTTAGCACAGCTGAATCAGGTGATTGCACTTCAACAAAATCCTATTAATCGGCCATTAATAGAAATTAGCTGTGCAGAAGAAGGAAAACCTCTAAAACCTGCAGGACAGCGGCCCTCAAGGACTGACTTTGGACATGCCTACCCAAGTACATCAAAGACGTACTGCAGCTAACGTAGCCATGGTGTGACAAAAAGCCTTGACAACGCAGATGGAACCACGTCAACGCATACTTCATGGTGTTTTACGTCACGCCTACAGCCAGGGTTCATGTGTATCTGTTGTGAACTGGTTGTGAGCGTC